CCTAGACTCCCTGTGCCTTCACTGGGTGGTCACATATTAGCCATTCTGTAATGATATGCAGCTTAGAAATAAAATGCATGTTAATTCCAGCAGTAAAAAGATTTGATACATAGAGCTTGTTAAGCTGATGGCTGGGTTGAACCCCTGTAGTTCTTTAAAGCTAGAAAGCAATTTTCTTTCTTGTCTTTGTCTAAAAATCTGAACTACTTGTGTAAATAAGTATTTTAAAAAACTGTACTTCTCAAAATCCAGATGCTGCTTAGGGGAGGCACATAACAGCACTTTTGAAGAGGGAATTTATTTCCTCTATTTGTGTTTTTTCTACCAGTAATCTTTACTGTGAAAGCACAAGGGCATTGAAGCTTGTGGCTAGTAAATTCTTTAGCTAATTCTTTAGATACTCTGCAGGTGACAACTATTCTTAAAAATATAGAGACAAGATATCACAGTCAGGGAAAATATCACTTAAACTAATGCAAAATGTCATTTGTGTTGGCAGAAATGGGAAAGGATACTTTTCTGTTTTTCAATATTTTTAATAGATTTTATTTAATTCCTAGTCACAATTGAATATTGAAGTAATCATCTGAGATTAGATAATACATTTTCTGTCTTCTGCCTGTCTTACAACTTAATATGAGTAAAGTCCCGTTAAAGTCAATTGAATTTATATTCTATTTGAAAGACATCTTTAAAGTGTCCATGTAAATAAACACTGTAAGTATACCTACTTATTTTGTACATCACAAAAACTCATATCCATATAATATCTGCCATAAAATGTTTAATATAATGTTAGTCCTCTTATACATAATCATTCTGAATAGCGCTTTACAGCATAACAGACAGTGCCACTTCATAATTTTGCACAACAAAATTATTCTGTATCCCAGGAAGACAGTCAATAATAGAGTGGTAAATGAGTCTTCAAGGAAAGGTGATGCTGGTTGTGGTAATGTTTATTTTTATAATTACTACAAGGTATTTAGCTCAAGTTTGTGCTTTGGCTGATACTGCCAACACAGTTTTCGTTTCCAAACCTAGTCAGAAAAGCTTCCAAAAGTCTTTTCCCCCTCTTCTCCCTTGCCCCCAAATGCTTCTTAAAGAAACTTCTGGTGTGTTGAACTGGAAAGCTCTCACCTGGTTCCCTTGATAACAGCTGAGCTATTTCATGTTTTGAAGCTGAGGGTTTACAGCAGGATGATAAACACATGAAAGACAGTAGTAAACGTTTTGAGTTACATTTTGCATCCACCATGCCTATTTGTGACTGTTCTCATGTGAGAACCTACTTTTCAGAAATTTCCTTTTAAATTAATCAAAAAAATGCCCCTTCAGTTAAAACAACTGTATTTTTTCCTGCAGACTGAATTGAAATTGCTAGTAGAGCATATGAAATCAGCATTTTATTCCTCTAACATGATGTTCAAAATGAATTTCATAATTTGGTTGGTATAAATATATTTGAATAAAAACCTATAGTATCTTTTAAGGCAATGCCATTTTACAGTGGAAAAAAATCTAGCCCTTGAAAGCAAATATCAGTAATATTTGACTGACTGTTACAAAACCTGTTAGATGCTGTTAGGGCTCCGATTCCAAAGGGTTAAGTCTGTAGTAAAACCCAAGAAGAATGCAAAATGATCAAGAAATGACATGCTGCCTATTGTTTGTAGCTATAGGATCAAAATAACAATTATACATGCCAAATAAATTCTAAACCTGTAAAAGAGAAAAAGAGGGGGTGGCTGTAAGTACAGGTGCCAGAAGCATTAAATAACTCTCTCAGACAAGGTGCACCACTGTTGTCTTGAATGCTGCTAGGTTCCCCCAGTCTGGCATTTTTCCCCCTGCACTAGACAATGTGCATTCACTGCAGGAGACTAGGCTAAGCCTGCGTCTCCCAGACCTGCCGGCTCCTTCTGCCCAACCCGACACAGAGGTGCCTTTGTCAGTATAATTACCCTCCCCTTGTAGTAGAAATAGTTTGTTTAGAGACTTATTTGCAGGTAGAGCTGGTATAAGCAGGAATTAGCATGCTAAAGAACCTGCCCCAGCACTGACTTGGGTTTATTTATCCAAATCTTTGACAATCAGGGTTTTTTTCCCTCGGTTGGTTTATTCAGTGAGATACTATCCGAGATTAAGAGCTTTAAAGTTATTAAAGAGATTGAAGATGGGAGCCAACTGGCTGTTGTGCGAGGAAGGCGCATGTCCCGGTGTGTAGGATCTCCCAACAATTTCATGCCTGGCAGGTCTGCACCTTGGCTGCCAGAATAAACTCGGGTGGATGCTCCTTACTGCTTTCTGGGGATTGATTAAAACTCCCTTTGGCTTTCAGCACGTTGTCCACATCAAAAAGGTGCGAGAAGAAAAATAAATGTTTCTTTTGCTTTTCAAGATACTGTGGCCAATCTCCCTAAGCCTTCCTAATTGGCCTAGGCTGGTTGCGGATGATTAACTTGAAGTTATATGGGGCCTGCTTTTAAACATGCTTTCCCAGACTTTAAACGGAACGATGGGGGGAAACTTTAGACTCTTGCGATGCTGGACCAGAGCCAAGCCTGGTTATTATTAAAGTGGATCCAAGTTTTGATCCAGGTTTTGTTTACACTGAGCCAGCTAAGTTGATGGACATCCTTCCTTCTTTGCAAACCTGAATGTATATTATTAGTGATATTAACAATATAACACTTCTGCCCCACGAAAAAGAACTTTTTAGTGAAGGGGGAGAAATATTAGCAGCTCATGTTGAACTGAGAGTTGCTTGCATTTGGACTTTATCGATTTGTGTAAGTTATTTTAACTATATCAGGATATATCAAGATATGCAAAAAATGCAAAGGAAAAAAATGTGCGCAGTGTTTAATGATATTGCAAAGAAAATAAAAGTAATGTGCCCTGAGGGCAAAGGCAGTGAGATTTGCTCTCAGGAAACGCATGCTCTAAAAATAAATCTTTGAAGAAACCATGTCAGTCTGTGAATGTTTCAGTAGTGAGTCTCATAATTTTTCTCTGAAGTAAATACAGTGCAGACATTTGATCCTTAAAATGTTGGGTTTTTTCATGCAGAAGTTGGTAAAACCCTAGTCTTGTCGATGTGAAGATTAAAGGTAAATTGTTAAACAGGATTCTGTTGCATGAGAATGCAGAATCCTTGTCTCTTTTGAATACAAAAAAATTCACCCTCTCTGTGTCCTCGAGGTAGGGCATAAGGGGCAGAACAGCACCAACACCAGTGCTTTTTGAGTTCCTTTATGGCATTTTGCTTATTGTCTCTAGAAAGGCACAACAAGAACCAGCGTAAATCAGACATGGGCAGCCTAAATCAGACATCCAACTGAGTGAGAAGCCAGAGGTCTGAACTGCAGAAGTCATTAACCTCCAAAGGGAGAGTCAGGGGAAGTGGCTGGTACTTAGTCTGAAAACATCAAGAAATAAGCTGAGAAAGTGTGATGGAAAGCACATCAGAGCCTACTGCGCTCCCTGTGTTCAGTTGCTGAGTCTGTGACACACAGAAAGTCTGGCTACAAGATCTAATGGCTTTTTTAGATAAATCTTTATTTTCTCAGAGGCAGTCTCTGACTGCAAACTGCACTTATTAGAGTCTCCTGAGAAGTACCTTGCAGGACCTGGTTATCTTGTCACACATCCTGCTGCTTACCCCTGCCTTGCTTCGTGGAAAGGCAACTTCACGGTTTTTCTGACACCTTGCAGCTCTTTTGTCTTTGATAACTAGCATCTAGGAGAAGTGCCATATTTTAACTGGTATTATAATACAAGCTAAGCTTACAGATGTGTCCAGGCATATCATTAGATTTAATTAAATTATGTGAATATTAACATGTCCCCTGTGAAATGTCTGGCACTGAGCCATGTGCTAGTAGAGCAGTGAACAAGAGAAGTACAGTAGCAAGAGCACCCCCAGGGTTTGTGGATGAACCTCAAGCAGTTTCACCAGGTCTCCACCCTTGCTTCAAAGAGAAGAGGCTTAGGCTCATCCATGAACCATTTCTTTCTCAAGCTTGAAAGATTTTGCTGTTTTCCCAAGCCACCTCTTGTTTGTGCTTTCCTCCTGGTCTTAGTCCTGCAGGCTCTGGTGTCCTCTGGATCTCCATTCTGAGGAAAGGCAGACTGCAAATCCCTGTTGCTGTTGGAGCGTGGATGCTATTTGATATTTTATTTTGATTGACCTTCCCTAGTGGCCTTTTTTGCTTTTGCCCCTGCTTGAAAAACATTTGATTGCTTGCCACTACCCCAAACATTTCCTTTCCTGTTTGCTTCCCTCTTAGATTTGAAACGAGCTGTGTTGCTGGTAGCTTTATTGGCTGATTGTGCTCCTTCCACAAATTGATAGCAAGGCAAATTTAGCAGTTAGAGATGAAAGTTATTGAAACAATCTGTAGCCCAGATAACTTGTACTTTAAAATTCACAAGCAAATCATGCTGTTACTGTTCTGCAAAAAGACTTGCTGTTAATTCCCCTATTCCCTCAATATATGTTGCATTATCAGTAATAGTGCCTGTATAGAGGTATGGACTGGGCACTGTTTTCCCTGGAGTATTAATCTAAAGTGGGAGTGAGATGTGACAGACCTATCATGGGGCTCTGTTTCAAACACTTTTAAACCCTCACTACAGGTTCATGGCTACAAGGTCAACTATTTAAAGTTCTCCAAAGGTGTTTTCAGAGTTGACTCAAACATGTGGTATTGTCTCCATTGCCAACACATAACTACAGTATCTCAGAGTACTGTACCTCAGGAGAAGAAGTAGACAAGATACATACAATGACAGAAATCAGTGAACCAAGAAAAAACGCAGAGACACTCCTCAGTAGAAGGAAATACATGAATTTCTCAACATTTTGAGGGAGAAATTGCTTTTTCTTTAAGCCCTTTGCATCAAACTGAAAAAATAGTGTTACTCTGTTCTCTGATATTCATGGTTCATCATGGTAAATTTGCTCATTCTCAAAACTTGTTCTTTTTTTCAAACAGGGTGCTAAGGCATGTTTTTTGCGTGACATCCCCTTCTCTGCCATTTACTTCCCCTGTTATGCTCATCTGAAAGCTTCATTTACAAATGAAGATGGGAGGGTTAGCCCTGGAAATCTGCTCTTGGCTGGATCAATAGCTGGTAAGTGCCCAGATTTCTTTTTTTCCTGGCTCTGTACTGCTGTGGCAGCACAATAGTTATGGCAGTGAAAAAAATAACAAAAATTCTCAAAATTACTATATGCAATAATACTGGATTTTGCAGCATTATTGCAGAAACAAAGTTACCCATGCTGTATAGTAAGTTGAAGATACTGTAAGTTCCTGGTATAATCATAACATTCAGAAAGCAAAATAAAGGGAATATAAAGGTTTTTGCTGATTTTTTAAAAATCATTTATCATAATTCTTTGTGAAGTTACTGTGCTGGTTTTAGCTGTGTCTCACCGTCAGGTAATGTTTTGTTGTAATTATTTATAAACAAAACCATGGGATTCATAAAATTCTTTATGATCAAGTGAATCTTGAATTTTGGTATATATAGTCCAGAAGCTACACTGGAAGTAAAGCTCTTCAAACACAATGATATAACAGTGACAAAATTATTACAGTATTTGCTACCCTCGGTATCCCACTGAAGTTACTTGGCTTCTTGAGGGTTTTACCATTATATTTTTTTTAAATACTAAACAAAGCAGAAGAAAACATTGCTGCAATGCCACGGGTTGCTAATTCCTCACATACCCAGATATGACAGAGGTGCGGAGTGTGGTCTTGAGCACTTGGTTGTTTTAGTCTGCTGCATTGCAGACAGAAGAGCCCAAACATGCTTAACTTCTCACACATGAATTTAGCTTGAGTGTGCCAGAGCCTAAGGGAGGAGACAGAGGCTTTGTAAGCCTCAGCTTGCCCTTATCTGCTGCATGGCTGGTCCCCCCCACAGCTTCTACACCCAAAGGGACCACCACTTGGTAGCTGTCTGCTGGAGGGGCTTGAGAGTCCTGCTCCTGCAGCGTCCATGGTTTCCCCCCTAGGAAACAAATAGGCTTGCAAATTTGTGCAACAGGACCTTTAGGGGAGTGTGTAGCAAGCAGAAGGGCTCAAATCAGCTGGTATTTCCACCGTGCTTATCGGGGCTGCTTGGTCTCTCCAAGCTGCACCCAGGGTCCTTCTCCAGCATGGCCCCTGGCAGACTGCTGTGACCTGCCAGGTGAGAAAAATGATGGAATGGCATGAATCCAGTACAGACAGGTGGTTTAGCAATGTTTTCTCATTAATTTTAAGCATTCTTCTCCCTGAGAAAACTTCTTGGTCATAATTATACACAGGGCTGTGTCTCTTTGAGAGCAAGGCCCTTTTATAGCTGGTATCTGGTCTGAGAGAACAGCTAGATCAGTTGTTTTGTCAGGTTGAGGCATATTGATCTCTATTCAGTAGCTCATAGTCCAAAGGAATTGAGCTGGCACTAGCAAAGCCAGCTGTGTTCCAGTGACTGCTGCTCAAACCCCCCTTGTCCTCTCCCCTCCCCCACCCCATTCCAAAGCCAGGCTCCAAACCCTCCATGAGGAGCTTTTACAGCCAGCTTATTTCTTACCCATTTTAATGGAACAAAACAATTTTTGAACTTTAGATCATATTTACAGACTTGAAACATAAGCTGGCATTTTTAAGCCAAGTAATTTCTTAGGTCTTCCTATTTTTCTCTTTCTAGGCATTGTCAGGTGATTGCAGACTGAGATAACCATCCCTTTGAAGTTCAGGCACAGAAGCAGTCTTTATTGTTGCTGATATGGCTCACCAATCTAGCTATAATGCGAATTTTATCCAGTGCTGCCTGTGAATCCCATCCTAGGTTAACTCTCATGAGCATATTATAGTGTTAGAGATACAACACTCATCTTACTGTTTATAAAACCAAGAAATTTGTTTTATTGGGTACATGTGAAGTGTGATGGGGGTGCACGTGTCCACTGTTTTGCCAAAAGAACGTCAAGGGAAAGACAGAACAAAACACCCACCCCTTCTGAAAAGCTGGCTTTGGTCTCTGGGCGAGGTCCCTTCTCCAGCCAGGGATCTCACCTGGTCATCAGACTTCAGATGTGTGCATGAGCTCTGGCTGCATGTGGGAAACTCCCCCTTCCCACACACAGCCCACAGTGCTCGGATATTCAAGCTAGCCATACTCAGATGTGCATCTGTGTCCTTTGCCAGTGGGTATTGCTTGTACTGCTTACATCATCTTCCTTTCCATTGTGGCTGGGGTCACAGGCAACACATGTCATCTATTTTGATCTACTTCTGGTTTTCAGATGTCTCAACGTGTTGTGCCGTAGCATATTCTGAGATGATTCTACTATCATCTGCAGGATCTCCCCTTAATTTGCTCTGTTTGCTTACTGCCTCCATGAAGTTCTCCTCCCCTAGCTCCTTTTTATTCTTGTCAGCTCCTGCTGAGCTATTTGTCACATTATGATTGTAAGCTTCTCTTGGCAGCAATCTCTAACTTCGATTTGTCTGTAAACGCTTTTGTCCTGTACACATAGTTCCTAAAGAAAGGATTTTAAGTATCTCAAGTGCAAAATATTCTCAATAATATGGAGTGAGGGATAAGGAGATGGAAGTCAACGTGTAGTATGCAGAATTGTTTCTAAGTAAGTTCTTTGGTTTTCATGAAAACACTGGTTGGCTTTTGAAGGACAAAAGTCTGGCTTTAAATTGAAGACTCAAGCAATACCCTGGTGTGGGTAAAGCTAAGCAAAGAGGAATTTTGGTGGTTTTGGAGTTCAGAAGCCTTGACCAGGTTTTAGTGCCTGCCAAACAGCCCATGCATACACTGAGTGTGTGCTCAGTGTATGAGTTATTTTGGGGGGACAAGGAGAGGAGTAGGAAATCTTTTGGTGATATGCACATGATTTGATCTCTTGGGGCAGTCTGCAGGAAGGGTGCTATGGAGCTTGAGGCCAGACCATGCTGGTTTGGATAAAATTTGTTACAGAATTATTGAGCTGGGAAAAAAAAAAGGAAAGGAGATTTATGCATCTACATCTAACCAAGCTGGTTTGGAACAGATGCAGAATGGAAAAGTAATAAAACCCTAAGAGACAGTGTCTTCTGGGTACAGTCTTGGTGCTTTACTTTGACTTTTTTTTTTTTTTTTTTTCCCAGTTCTAAACATGCCCCAAATTTAGATAGGAATGATTTTAGAAATAGCACTCATTGGTAATTTGGTATGTTTTACTTTCAGTTGAACATCTGCCAGGGTAAATTTAAATCTTCCTCCACATATTCTGCTGAGGATGTCAGCTGTGGCTTTGCAGCTGAGCAGTCTGCCATGCCTAATGAGAAGAATGACCCTTTTTGTAAGCCTTATCTCTCAAGTGATGCTGAGCATGCATGGCATTATCTGGTTCTCCGTGAGATTTCTTCGTGAGGGGCGTTTGCGTATCTGTGTTTGTGTCTGTGCACAGCCTATTCTAGCACAGTGTACACCAGGATGCCAGGAACCACAGAGAGGAATGAAAAGGAAAAGGAAATATCAGCCTTCCCTCCAAAAGCTTTGTGCTTATTAACTATGCAAGTTTCTGATTAGCACTGGAAACTCCAATCTGTGCCTCCCAGCTTGGCAGGAAGCACGTGATATGCTTGTTCTTCTGGGAGAAGCTCTTCTGAGTTAAGTCATGTCCACAACAGCAACTTCTTGATGCTTGTTCTCCTTTGCAGGTTCTGCTTAAATCAAATGTGGCTGGATTCTCCTGATGTAAAGAGGAAAGACCTGCTTCCCTCTGGATAAACTAGGTGTGTAGTGTATGTGCCAAGGCAGTGGTACTCACCTGATGACTTTTGTGTTGTTCAGGTATGCCTGCAGCCTCTCTGGTCACCCCTGCAGATGTGATCAAAACAAGGCTACAGGTGGCAGCCCGAGCAGGACAGACCACCTACAGCGGCGTTGTGGACTGTTTTGTAAAGATCCTGCGGGAAGAAGGCCCGAAGGCTCTCTGGAAAGGAGCAGGAGGTGTGTAAAAGAGCTTTGATTGCCAAGTGATTTCTGATTGTGGCATTTGTCACTGAGGAACTCTTTTCTTTTCTTTCAAGCTCGTGTATTTCGATCTTCTCCTCAGTTTGGTGTAACTCTGGTGACTTACGAGCTACTGCAGAGATGGTTTTATGTGGACTTTGGAGGAGTGTAAGTATGTGATGTCTGAACATACAGGGATCCTGAAGTACCCCCTTGGTTCTGTTGGGTCTTGGTCCTCCTCAGAACATCAGAGGCAGCAGCTTCCTAGGACATGTTGTAAAGGCTTTGTAAACTACACTTGACTGGAGGAGGTTGGGATGATATTCCAGAGCTGTGAACCAGTAGCTGTTTCGTAGCAAGATATTACCACATCTTTCAAGCAGGGGACCTATGTTAGTGTAAACAGAGACAGTGGGAGGCTAAATAATGGGCTGGGGATGTAAATGCAGGAAAAATGTGATGCCTGCCAGGTCAGGATACACTCTGCATTAGTCCTCATTATTTGGTGGAGGAGCTGTGTCCCTGATTAGACAGGGCATTTGATGTCTAAAAAAATATACAGTTGTCACCAAGGTCAAAACCAATTTGTTGGCATTTCAGCTATGCCTCCTGCCTTTGTTGACAATACAGGTGGATGTGCATGTAGCTGTTTAACTTGATCCCAGAGCAGCGGCAGATTCTATGGATCTTTGGGGACAGCAGTTTGAAAGCCACCACAAAAGTTACTTAAACTCCGCTATGTTGCTGGATTGGTTGCGTCCTGTAGCAAAGACTTATGAGCCCCTGCTACCTCACACTAGTTTTGATTCATGCACTGCAAATTTTATCTGGATTTGACCGTTCTCAATCAATATGCAGGCTCCTAACTGTTCTGGGAGGTTTTAAAACAGGCTATGTCTCCTTACATTGCAGCATTTAATTTAGTTACTTACAGGGAAGTACATTCAGCTGTCTCATTAAATTTACTTTATGGAGGAGATTTTGTGAATACTGATTTTACTCTATGGAAGTTAATTTATTATTTTTATTATTTTGCAGAAAACCAGCTGGATCAGAGACAGTTCCTAAATCTAGGATCACGCTCCCTGCTCCTAACCCTGATCATGTTGGTGGTTATAAATTGGCAGTTGCCACTTTTGCAGGGATTGAAAACAAGTTTGGACTTTACCTACCTCGGTTTAAGCCATCGCCACCTACCTCAAAGGCTGCTGCAGCAGTAGGACCCTAAGTTTATTGCTGTAGGGTTTTTGTTATTAGTTGGGAAAGAGCCACTTTTCTAATTGGTTAATACTTTGTTCCTTTAGCTTCTCATCATATAAAAGATCAGCTTCATTTGAGTTTTAAGGTAATTTTCATCTTAAATGGAATCATTTGTCTTTGTGCTTCCGTAACCAGATCACTGTGAAATTCTTACCAGTTGTTTTAAGTTTGGAACCATGAATGTATTTGTCCACATCTGACATGTGCTTGTGTTGGGAAGACACTAATTTTAGGTTCTGTTTATTGGGGAGGGCTGGGTGAGAGCTGTGAACCAGATCATTTTACAGGCAATGCTCAGTTGCAGATTACCAGGGCAGATGTCACACATCGTCACTCAGATGGAAAACTCAGTGGCTATCACGGTGCTCAAAGCAGAATGATTTGGACTGTGCGTGTAAAATGGTTTTAAACTTGGTGCGTGTTTGTAGAGGTCAGCAAATATATACCCGGTACCTAAGTGTGCCAGTACAGCTTCAACTTTCTAAATCACGCACAAGTTCTGTTTCTGGATTGTATTATGGAGCTTTTATGTGGAACATGTTTTTGTAATGGAAACCACATTTATAAATGTTTAGCCGTTGTATTATGTTACTGGTATCAAAATGCTCAAAAGAAAGTGTTATTGTCCATAGTCTTTGCACTTTATGGCAGAACTTTTGGCATTCTACTACACACACAAGGAAATTTCATAACTAGGTGCCTATCTTGGGTTGCTGGTGTTTGGAATTCAGTTTGTATATGCACTTCTATAGTAAAACGCTGCTTGTTTAAATAACTGCAATAGAAAATTCATGCACTGTATCAATGGTACCTGCCTTAACTGCTGGCTTGTAATTGGCAAATAGGTGGTTTCAGATTCTTATTTACTTCATTGAGTCAAAAGAGATTAAAATAGTCTAAAATAAAAGATTTTACTTAATTTTTGGTGCCTTGCACAGTGTTTAGAAAATTCTGTATTTATGAAGATAGAAATAAACCTTTCAAACAGATTCACATGGTATTCTGTTATGGAAATAACATATTACATTGAATGTCTTGTTCAGCTTCAGTGATAAAGTCAGGTTAAGGTGAAGCTAATGTTTGCACTTGTAGGCTATGAAAACACTTGCAGCTTGAGAACAAATTACTACAGTTCCCCAGCCCAGAAAAGACATCTGTTGGTGGAGATGTCACTCAGGAAAAAAGAGACTTTCTCCTCAGTCAGAAGCAAGGATTGAAGTTTTGATATTTTGATCTTCACTTTTGGGGGGAGGTTAGTGATTATGAACAGCCTGGTCACCTAGTCACTTGAAGGTCCTGTTGGGTGTCTCCTGTGATACCTCTAAGATGAGGAATTTGGCTTTGCTTGTCTCTTTGGAGTGGGGGGAGTGAGGGGTGGGTGCCTTCAACCTTGGCTGTAAACTGAGGGAATGCACAGATGCAGAAGAATGTGTTTGCTGCACAATATCACACTGTGCTATAATTTGTGGAAATACTGAAATGGAAATCACTCTGATTTTGTATTTGGGTCATAATTTGGATTATTCTCTTGGACTAATTTGTATTTTGAAGTTACTAGTGAAATGCAGATTGGGGGTATGAGTAGCAGCACTTGTGCATGTGAAGGTGAGGGGAGCAGATGACATTTACCTGCAGCTAAATCTTGGAGTCTGGCTAAACCACTGGGCTATGACAGACAGCAGCTGCTTCCTCCCAGCCCTGTGTATCTGAGTCTCCCCAAACGACAGCTCCTTCATTTCAAAAACAGGGAGAAAAAGCTCTCCCTTGTAATAACCGTTCAAAATTAACCATCAGGATTTCTGGTTAAAGCATGTCACAAAAGTAAAACATTCTCACTGGGTGCTGCCTGTGCTTTACACATGAGATTTTAAGCTGTTTAAGAGCTGCTTTTGTACTTTATCCTACAGATTTGCCTGATATACCATGTCAGGGGTTTCTGTGGAAAGTCAGCAGCTCTGGGAAGATGTCTGAGTATAGAGCTGCACCTTCTCCCTGATCCAGGAGAGGAAATGCCTGGCCACTGGATGGGCTTGGTTGGCAGCTGCTTCTTCCTGGCTCATTCTGGAGAGGGACACCCAGGCTGCACACACCAGAGCACATCCCTCTGCTGCCTGACACTGAACCCCAGTGCTGCGGGGGCTTTGCAGCCAGGCACAGAAGAGGAATTAGACCTGGGTTATTGTAGGGCTTGCACAACTTCTTGGCTCATGTGATAAAGACCATTCATTGCCTGTGTTCCACAAAACCAATTTCTCTGCCTCCTGGTGCCCTCACATTCCTAGGCCTGGCAGTATATTTATAACTTGTTCTTTATTCTGGGGATGAAGGGCAAAGCTCCCATCCCAGGAACAAAGCTCAGGCACAGCTCTCCTATGGCAGATCCATCTCAGAAGGCCACAGACTTCTTCTCTGAGCAGGGCTGGACTGACTCCACCACCCCACCCATGGTGGCCTTTCCCTTCACCATTAACTTTCCTGGAGAATTGTTTTCTCCTGCCCATCTCTTCAGGGTCAGTAAACAGCAGAGGTAGGGGCAGAAGTGTTGAAGAGCTGCTTTGTTAACAGGCAAGCTGAGTTCAGAAAATTCCAAATGGTGCTGCAGCTCTGCCCAGAGATCTTGGGGAAGATCTGTGCCCACAGTCGGCTTCCTCCAGACACAAAAGGATGCATTCCTGCTCTGAAAAGCTTGCCGACCAAGGAATTGTCAGATTGTCTTGCAAACAAGCAAAAGGCCCTGAGGACAATATTTGTCCTTTCTTGGTTTCTGGGTGAGTTATGCAAATGCATAAAAAGTAACCTCACTTGCTTCCTGCACTCCAGCTAACCCCCTGTGACAGCACTTCTAGAAAGAAGAAATGGCCAAATACTTGTGGTGTTACCTTGTCAGACCGAGAGTGGGGCAGGAGTGTCCCTGAAGCAGGTACCCTGTGTTTGTGTTTCTCAGTCCAGCAGAAGCCAGGAGATGCTTTTCTGCCTGGTCCCCAGGGAATGGGTTAGGTTTAAGCTGACTTAATATTGACACTTTGCAGGGATGCTTTTGTGAGCAAACATACCACAAACTTCAAAAATAAATTGGGCAGATTTTTGTAAACCTGCTAAAAATACAAAACCTGACAAGCGGCTCTGCATCATCTTAGGAGGGGCAGCCGGCTTGGAATGTCCCTGTCTTAGCCTCTATGTGTGCATAGGTGTCACACTGCCTGCTGCTGAGATCCTCTCCAGTGGCACAGGGATGATCAGGAATCCTCCAGCTTTGCTGTTTAAACACTGCTGTGAAACTCAAACTCTGTTTTTGTTTAAATATTTGCCGTTTTTTGCATAAGCTAGAAGGCGATTTCCAGAGCTAGTGATCATTTGTCAGCTATTTAATGGCTGAGAATATACAAATCTCAAGACGTTTATATTTTAAGTGTCTCCAGAGACCTTCAAACACATCAAATAACACAGAAGCAGCCTGGGATGAAGTGGTTTCTTTAATGCCACATGTCATGTGGTGGTTCTGCTTTCTGCACGGTGGGCAGTGGATAACTCAGGCTGTGAGACTGTGCAGCCTCCCCTCGTGCTGAACACGGGATGTCATCAAAGTGTCTGTTGCCCTTCAGAGAGATGACATTTCAGGTGTAGGAATGATTTTAACTTCTCCTTGCACTGTTCCTCATTGCACCAGGAAGCAGTACTGTCACTTCCAAAATTCATTCCAGCTGCTGTAGTTACATTGCCTGGAGTTCCTCACACCCCAGGCTGTGCAGACACTGTGTACCAGACATGGTGGTGTTACTTCAGAAGTATCTTTGCTTATGACTTTGAAGGAGAACTGGTCCTGTGAGCTTCCCAAAGACAGGTGGCTACTCTATAGCACCCTTAGGCACTGAGTCCTGCCTTTGAAGAGTGTCCTTTGTCACTGGCCAGTGGAGACCATCCCACTCAATGTGGGATGCTGTTCTGCTCTGTGAGGGGTTTCCTCACAGTCTTCTGCCATGCATGCTTTTTATCTCCAGTTGCTAAAACTCTTTGGAGCTTTTTCTACCTGTCTTGTGTGAAAGAACCTATTCCTAGTTGTTTCCATAGCCCTAGAGATGCAGGCTCTATTTGTAGTGTAAAATGATGATATTCCAGGGTGTGGTAGGGGCTCTGATGTTTTCAGAAGTAGCAAATGTTTGGGGCATTGGTTTTGAGACTCAGGAGAAAACACTTTCCATCTTGGAAAATTTCTTATGGAGCACTTTCTGAGTACCCTGTAGAAAAAGCTGCAGCTCTTGAATCATTGCAGCTAATTCTGTGGAGTCTACTCTTAGCAGCAAAGACTTGCTCTCACAGCCTTTCCATGGAGATATTTGTGGTGTTCCCAGACTTCAGAGGTAGCCTATTTCACCTGCACCTTTCAAAGATCCTCTTGGTCCAAGTGCTGTTATTTACATGATGGACCTGGCATTCCAGGCCCATGCTCAGTTTTGTGTGTCCTGGTGAAATTCCAGGTTGGCCAGTGCTGTGCACGAGTTCTTTCAGTATAGCCTGGCTATCATCTTTCTCTGTTACCACAGGGTCTCTTGACCAAAGTACATGACATAAAGGTGAAGAATCCTGCTTCACCTTTCAGCTAATGTCTCCAGCTCCCAACCCCAGTGTTACCTGTCATGTCTCCCCATGTCTTTTCACAGCTCTTTTCAGAACAACTCCCACATCCCTGGCCACATCATTCCTCTGCCTCGTGCCTGTGCTGGCGTAGCTCTGATCCTTCACACTGAAATCAAGGAAGACTCTGGACTTTCCTTCCACCAGTATAGGAGAGTTGTCCCTTCCTCATGTACCTCACAGTCCTGTCCTCCATGCTAAACCTCAATTTAGTCTCTTCTTATCACTAGCCTACTTCTGCTGTAGTTGGGTTTGATTTTTTCTGACCTCTGTGATTCAGATGTGCTCTCCAGCTCAGTCTGAGCACAGTTTGTCCTTCACAGAAAGCTCACTTGCCATGGCTCTAAAAGAGCCAGGCTGTCTTCTGACCCATTCCACACCCAGAGCAGTCATAGCAGCATCCTGGCAGTGCTAGAGCATAGGACATAACCCTTTATGTTCTTCTTTCTCTCCTCTGGATGTTTGTAGGCAAAAGAGACAAGAGAAGATGATTTCTTTTTGCTGAAATTAAAGGATAACTTTGTATTTATTTCCCTACTGGACTGATTCTGAGTACCATTTTGTCATAAGGGCTGTTTTAAAAAGCCAGTGAAATGCAGCTGTTTGTTTAGCAGCAGCAAAATCAAACAAACAAGAACTGTGGGAGATTCCTGGAAGGGCAGCGACAAGGGCAGGTCAGAAACTCCACTGCAGGATAATCACAAGCAGCACAAGGGAAGTAAATGCTTCTTGTTCTTGGGTGCTTTTCCATCTGCTTCAGCTGTGTGAAATGACTCTTTCATGTTATTGCTCTGTATATACAAACCTGGTGATTTCTGTGGAGATTCAGATCTTTTCCTTGTTTCCTCTGTGTATACTGTTGAACCCCACATACCACAAAAAAAAAAGAAAATAATTTCAAAAATGGACTTTGGTCATACTGATTATCACACAGCAGCAACTGCTGAAGCGCCTATGAAGCTGCTCTTAAAACCATTTTAGAAGCTATTAATGCTATAAAGTAGGGAGATCTTGGATATGAACATGCAGGACCCCCCTCAGGTTCCAAAAGCTGAACAGTAATATGGAAAAAGCAGAAGCAAATTTACCAGCTGTTCCCACTGCACTGATTATGACGGATGGGAGACAACATGGGCTGCATGCCCTTGCTGTGTTACACCACAGGCACTCTCAGATGGTGTCCTCACACTTTGCAGTGTGCATCTACTACACCGGGTGGAAGGGTAGTGGGTTCCCATCTGTGCCTCCCATTATGGCAGTACTTTGCTGTGTATCCACCTGTGCATATATTCCTGGTCTTGTGACCCACTGAGAACCAAGTGTGCCTCCCTCTCTTCCACTCTACACCATGTCTGCC